TATCCTGCTTCCATTCGCCGGCTTCAGTCTTTTCCAACAGCGTAGTATAGAAGCTGAGCGAACGTTGAATATCCGCATCAATATGGAGTTCTTGCAATTTCTTGCTCAAATACTGATTGAATTCTTCGGGGAAAGCGCCATGTAGAGCATCCAAAATTTTGTTCTTCTCCTTGGGGTCGGTCTCCTTGAGCGCAGTCTCTGTCTGCGTGATCAGCTTTTCCAAATCGGCTTTGTGTGCTGCGTCGACTTCGGGCAGGATTTTATTGTAGCTGCTTAAGTTTTCGCGCAGATCGATATCGATCGCTTCGGCAATGCTAGCAGCGGTGGACAACTATTGAGTAGAGGAAGAAAGAAGCGTAGTATGTTTGCTATTATTTTCTTTTGTACTTTTGAAAACTGTGTGCTTAAACTCACCTGCGCACACGCAGCAACACAGAGTAGAGCAGCAATGAAAAATTTCGTCATTTTTTGTTTTTTTAACTTTTATTTTGTATCTAAACTAAATACGTCCGTACACTTGACCGGCTCAATTGAGACTCACAATCGAATGCGCAGCCGCCGCCTCTATTTATACCCATAACAGCATAGGGCCGTCGGCTATAAATTTTACTTTTATTTTTATGCTTTTTCGCTACTGTGAAAATATAAAAAGCAGAAAAAGGTACCTTACAATATACCTACCTAAGTATGTTTGTTCTGTCAAACTCTTTATTCGCGAAAGCTTGGCTAGCGCTCTTATTTTTATTGTTTGTGCTCTGTTTGTTTATTTCTTTTCTTGCTAATTTACATATTTATGTGGCTATAACTTCTCAGGCTGTAAATTTGTAAGTTTTTGGGGATTTCACGTAGCGTCTGCTATTGACTTTGTTGTGATGGTCATCATTTTTTTCCTATCTACATATACTTATATGCATGTATGTAAGCACGTCTTTATGTAAACAATTTATACTCGATCATTAAAAATCCCCTTGTCCTTTATTGAAGTTACACTGTATAAAATCGATAATGTATATACATAAATGAGTTCATTGGCACAAGTTCATTGGCACAAAGACAGAAGCTGAAAGATAGTTTAGTGCCACCTCGGGAATAGTAGATTATCTTTGGCTCAAGTGCTTTCTCTGAATAATGTCAACAAGTAAAGTTAGGTTCAAAGAACCTGAAGTTGAAACCTCATAAAGCCTCACGCTTAAAAATCGAGCTTAAGCTCAGACCCGAGTTTCAGTACAAATGCTTCAGCTTCAACGCACTTCAGCAATGCAAAAATTTAGTCTAAGTCTGAGTCACTTTTTATGCATGAGGCCCATTGTCTTCCTTGACCTTGTAGATGATATACGAGAGCTTCTCAAACTCTTAACACAAAGAGTAGGCATTAAAAGTCGCCTTCCTCTACTTGAACATTATTACGGATCTATCTTTATGTTCTTTGTGTACGAGTACTTTTTCCAGATGACTGTGTTTTCGTCCTTTTTTATCTAAAGTAAAGACTAGTTACAATCCATTTTTGAGTTTTCAATGTAGCAGCTTTTGATCAGGCGGACAGTGGCACAGTCTCTATGCCCCTCTCACCAGAGAGAGTGACGGTCCGGCATCGGAACTTAGAAGTATATACTCGTGTATCTCTACCAAGTACCTACTGATCATTTTTGTGTATTTTGAGTGTACAATAGGGTGGTCGAAAAAAATTAAAGTCGGAATTTTAATACTCTTATCCCTTAGGATTGCTCTATACCGAAAAAAAATATACTCTTGTTTTTTATTTTGAAATTAAAAAATCTTTAGAGGTCGCTAAAAGCGCAATGGGGCCCCTTTTGAGGTTATTAGGGCTTCTATAAAAAATAGTTAAAATTAGAAAGTGATTAAATAAACAATTGGGTACTATTGTTGGAAGTCTAGTGAAGAAAAAAGCTTATAAAAACGAAGTTGTCCGATCGAATTGGTATCTACAAAAACTTGTTTTTCCCCATATAAAATACATGGGAAGCTTTGAGCGCTTTTTCGGTATAGAGCAATCCTAAGGTTGTGAATAGTTGAGTACAATATGCAAGTATTTACTGGTTTACTAAACTTTGAAAATTCAAGTGAAAATAGGTCTCAATTGCCACATCACAAACGATTTGGCCAAGTGGGTCACCCGCTTGTGCAAGGGTTAAAACTAAAAGAGCGTTTAAAAGTGGAGAACAAAAGTAGTAGCGCATCAGGGGAGGATGTGAATTATCGAGAATTCATTTTGTAAGAGAAACACCAAAAAACAAGAAAACGAAGAGCTTTGTCATTACTCTTCATAATTCAATAATAAGAGTTTTTGTAATAAACACAGTTTTCTCGCCCCCTCATGAAAAGTCGGCTCCTTTAGTGATGGGTAATGTTGGTCACTCAACTGTTCCTAGTTATATTAGTACTAAAACTTAAACTTTTTCGTACTACTAAATATTCGTTGTTATGGCTGAGTCATTTGTGTCATTTGTAAGAAGTTTAGAATACCAAGCATTTAGCAATGGAAAACCCAAAAATGCGGCTGGATAGAACTTTTCACGTTTATTTTAACCATATCAATTATTTGGCGCAAGTGAAAAATAAAGAAGGTAAGAAATTTAACCATATTGGAAAGAATTTTTTTAGCGCCAAATGTGATTATCCCTACCAAGCTTTTTGTGGTAGGGAATCCGTTGTCATGGTCGCAAAAACCAAAAACTCTATTTAAAATATTTTTATTTTTTTTAAGTTCATTAAAGTCAAAATAGTAAAAATGCAAAGATTTTTCGTTTGAAGGTCGGTCTTAAGGTCAAGGTGATTTTTCACTTAATCACCTTTAAAATTAATTTCTTTTTTTTCACTAGTAATAAACTTTTTTAAAACAATTTAAACTGAAATTATTTTTGTATTCTTGCGACATAGAAAATGAGTTCCTTGATGTACGAACAGCAAACATATGAGGCAATTCTCGTCAAATGTCCCAAGCGCGCTGATCGGTGCAAAACAAGCTACTTTTCGACTAGCTGAGAATTAGACAGAAAATTGGAAAAATAATTCGAAAACAATGATTTCTATAGATTTTTGTACGGGATATCCGATGGTACTATGCGTTCTCCAAAATTTTTTGATTTTCATGGTGAAAATTCTGAACGAAAATTTATTTGCAAGCGTTCTAAAACGCTTTATAACCCGGAAAAAGAAAATTACAAATAAATTTTGGTTCAAAATTTTCACTATGAAAATGAAATAAAAGAGTAGGGTGCAAAGCGTGGATGGAAAAAAAAATCGTTGTCTTAGACAAAACTAAAATGTTCAACGTATCCCAGCCGTATTGAAATTTAAGTTTTCCAAGAACTCACCATTTAAAATCCGTTACTATTTTACTATAAAAGATATACACCTGGAATTTTGTCAACTTATAAACCAAGGTGCAATATATTTATCTGCTTACGATAAAAAATCAAATTGGACTTCCCAAACCAAATTCAACATGAAAACATGAATATGGGTACTGAGTGCTCAACTGACTGTTCTAAAGTTAAACGAGATTAACTTGTTGTAAACTTTTCCAAGGTATTATCTCTGTTAAATATCATTTACCAAATCTCATGGGCGGTTTTGCAATAACGTCAACGATATAGTTTTACTATGTTATGTTGTTTTATTTATTTGTAGTTCTTACATTATTAACTTTTATTATTCGGAGTTTAGGATGAAACAAATTTAATTTAATACAGCTCATACAGAATATCAACATAGCCAAAAGTACCGATACTTTAGATCCGGTATTTTACTTTCCTTTGATACTAATTCCAAGTAAAGGTATCGATACCTGCATGATAGAGCTGCAAAACTATCGATGGCACTATCGATAGTATCACTAGTTTCAATTTGACACCACTATCGATGAATGGTTACTTCAAACCAGGAATTTTTACTAAAACTTAATGGACTACAAAAGAGCCTACTCAACATTTTTCTAAGAAATCTAATTAAAAACTCAAAATTTTGATGACCTGAAAAATTCGAATTTTCCTCGTTTTTGTTACTAGTTTAAATTTACACTTGCAACGTTTTTTTTTTGGTTGCTTAAAATAACAGCTTTTGTTCCTTTTAATAAAGCTCACTAAAATGTTGATTAAAACCAACATTTCTGTTTTTTCTACTAATATTACCATATTCAATATAAATAGTAAGGATGTTATATTTTTCTTTTACCGATAGTATCGATAATATCGAATGGTGAGGCCCAAAACTATCAAAAATATCGAATGGTGCAACCATCGATAGTTTTGCAGCTCTCTACTGCATGATATCGTTTCATCCCTATAGGAAAGATTCGCTAACTGCACTGTATGGGGTATCAAACGCTTGACGTAATGAAAGATTTCCAGTCGAGTATTTGTTAACGCTTCCAAATATTGTAATTAAGTGAATTATTCAGCTTAAATACTTTAAATGAGGAAAAGCAATTATGATAAATTTCAATCGTACGAAAAAAACTAATAAGTATAAACTTAATTCAGTTGAAATATTTTTCCACAATGAGTTAACTTTTATGCACTAATCAAAATAACGCTGTAAAAAGTTTAATGATCAATAATAAATTTGTTAGAATTTGTTTTGTTTCTAATTGCAGCCAATTAAATTTTCAAGTGTACTTTTACATTTCGCACTTTTATGTTTTTCGATACAAAATTTATACATTTCTATGTACTTTTGTATACTTATACTTATGTACATACATATGGCAAATATATACATACACGCAACTCATTTTTTCCACGGACTTTTTGACGTAGAGCAGTGCTCGTCAAACTTTTGAGTGTGACGGACCGGCTGCAGTTTTTCTATTACGTCGGGGACCGGTACCTTTTTTTATTGATTATTTTTCGTTTACGATCATCTCACATATGTATTAAAATTTGTTTAAATGAATTTCTTTATTAGCCGGGTGTCTATATATGACCTATTACCATTTAATGATAGCAGATATTAGCCATTTTTTATGAATGTTTAACAAATTTAAGTTGTTTTTATTATACAAGTTGTATATAGCCTCATTAAACAGTAATATAAAACATCAAAAAATCGTTGTCCATTTCGCGACGCCCTTTGCGGACCGGCGACTTATGGCTTACGGACCGGCACCGGTCCGCGGACCACCACTTTGGCGAGCACTGACGTAGAGTATGTACGTACTTACGTTTCGGTATGGATGCCATGCTCACCTGCCACCTGTTTACCAAGTTTCATTCAATTTATGCAATTGGTTTAATAAATTAATTCTATATAGATATCTATCTAAATTGTTTTGAAGATATTTTATTTATAAATTACATGTAGGAGAGTTGCCACCTATTTTAAAATTTAATTCAACTTTAATTACATACTCTGCTTTTAATATTAGGGGATGTGGGGTCGACACAGCCCGCAGGTCAAGACGAAGGTGCTGGAGTGATTCTTTTTACATGAACTTTTTGTTCTAGCACGAATCTGGTCCAAAGTTATGCGGTAACATACATAAAAAAATATATATTCCGACGATTTGATAACTTTCTCATTTTTTGAAGTTGGTTAAAAAGTTTTAACACTTCTCAGAAAAAAGTTTAAAATTTTGTTGAAAGTTTGTTGTAGATTTTTAAAAAGTCCCAAACTTGGGATTATATGGATTTGGTTAGAGAATGAACTGTATTTGAATTGAAAATTCTTTAAAATAAATAGATAAATATATGTGAAATTAGGAGCTATTGATATGACCGATACTACACATATACTAAGTAGTATGGATAACATAATATTTTTTTTTGCGCGTTTTTTTTTAATATTTGAAGTTATTTAAGCCTGCGCGATTTTTTAAAGTTGTGGAATTACCATACATCGCATATATTTTTTACACGATTTTTGTTTTGCTCGGTTTTCTAAGCAAAGCACATATGTACATATCTGCCGTGTAAAAAAAGTGTTGGGTGTATGTGCCTCCAAATGCGTTGTGAGTACCAGGTAGATCACATCGCTTGCCGACAGTGACGTTCTCTGCAAACTAATTAACACATAATATTCTGTGAATGTTGACCAATCGATTAGCAATTATAATATCAATTTTTTCCACTTCAATGCACACATAACTGACAACAAAAAAGTTTCAACTGCTGCGAGAAAGCCAATAAACTCTTCGATACGCTTCAAGAGAGCAGCCTTTAACAGCTTTAGGTAATTTATAATATAATAAGAAAGTCCATCTGGTTATACGCATCTGCAAGACGCCAACGGCTTTGATGAATTGCCAAACTGACAATAAAAATATCGCTCCGTTGTGGTTTTTGCGGTCAGTTTTGGTGTGAACATATTAAAATAATATACGCGCCATCGGCGCTAATGACATCGAGAAATAATAATGGTGAATAGCAATCATTCGCATTTGCATATATTTAAATAGCTATATACCTTTCTATGTACTTTTATGTTGTAGATATGTATATATGTAGATGTATATGAAACTGTGCCAATTCTCAAAACCGGGTGGCATATCACCTATTTAATTTTAAATTCAAATAAAACTGCCTCAACCACAAAGTATTTAGTAATAAAACAAGCGTTTAAATTAAATAAGTAAACAAAAGTGACCCATTGAAGGCTTTCACTGGAAAAATGAGCGGTTAAGGAGAACAAATAATAATAGACAACTGCATACATATGCATACATATGTAGGTATAAACATTTACATTAGGGCTGTAGAAATCAATGGAGCAAAGTTTGTACTAAAGAGACGCGACGGCATATATCTATGAAAAAAAAAACCAAGTAACTAGTGAACCCGCACCGCGTTAAAACGCCCAAGATAGAATTTCAAAAACCTATAAACTATTCCAAATATTAGTAAGGTATAAGCGATTCGAGTGTCATCTTTCTTCAAAATCCGTGCAGCCGTTTCGCATAATAGGTTTTCAATATTATTTAAATTAACTTAATTTGAAATCACCCGGTACCGATAAAAAGTTTCAAAAATTGAAACCTTATCGCACATCTACATGGCAAGGTCTTTATTTTTCAGGTTATACAATTTACTTTCGAGTAAACTTCTAATAGGTTCAATTTGAGTTCGAAGCGAATTTGGTTAAAATTCACTCAAAAATATTCTTAATGTTTAAATTAAAGACTTCTTAACACTCTTTCGTTTGGCTTCCATATTTTGACATTCCATATATCTTTTGGAAAAGTTAATTAAATTCGACATTTGAAGCAGGTGGCAACCCACTTAAACAAATTTTTAACCTACTACCTTCTGAGCACCCTTTCGTTTGGCACCTATATGTTGAAATATTTTTTTCCTAATGAATTTCCTTAATCCAAATTTAATTGGATTTTTTAAATAGGTGGCAACCCTCTTAAAGTCAAGTTAAGAAATAAATATTTTCGAAACCATTTCCATTGATACCCCTTGTAATATTTGATTTTTTTAGATAATTTGAATATCATTTTTTAAAAGGTGGCAACTCTTGTCAAAAAAGTAAAACTCTATTACATATGTGCAGCCCAAGCCTTTTAATGTGACACCTAATTTAGGAAAATCGAACGAACGGTGCAGATCTGAACCGAAAATGCCTTCGCGTATTACATAATATTTAAATTTTTCAGTAAACAAGTAATTTTTAAGCAAAAAACAAAACCAACTTCAATTCACATATCAAAATTTAAGATTATCGTTAATTTCTTCAAGATCCAATGATCGGATCTAAACCAAACTAGTATGGAACCACCTCCAGGGTACCATCGTTCCTTTAAAAAAACGGTTATAGAAATCGTGGTCTATAGATATGCGGTAAGATACATACAATAAAAAAAAAATATATTCCGACGAACCGATAACCTTTTCCTCTTTTTGAAGTCGGTTAAAAACAAAATCGTCTTCAATTCTCATACGAAAGTTTAAGCGTACCGTTAATTTCTTTATAATCGAATGATTGGAATTTTTATCTTAATCCTTATAGTTATCTTTATCATAACCATCTCCCTTCCATCTTCATGTTTATATATATCATTTTCTTTATCTTTATTGTTATCTTTTTTTTTATCTCTATCTCTATTATTATCTCTATCTCTATCTCAATCACTATCTTTAGCTTTATCCTTGTCTTTATCGTTATCGTTATATTTATCTTTTATACAAACATCTCCGAACTCGATTAAGGAGTATCAAAAAAAAATCTCCGTGCCAATTATGGCCTTATTTTACTTGAAATTGCGCCTAATCTTTCAAAATAGCAATTTTGAAAAATAGTAACCCTTCCCTTAAATTTTGTGAAACCCTTCTTGTGTACTATTTTTTCATCAACCAAAATTTGCAAGTTTCTAAATTACATACTGCTTTATTTTACTTGCTTTTGCCTTTTAGTTCTAGAAGCGTGGTTCTTATTTTATTGCTAAACGGGAAAGAAAGAAATCAGTTTTTTTCGATTAAACAGAGTGGCGTCTTTTTTAGCACTTTTTTATGCTCATAGCTAAGGATGCAGATCCAGAGCTCAGTTAACTCCGGTTCTCGTATTTATGACCCAAATGCCTTCAAACTCACCGATTTATACATTTCCGCTGCTGAAAGCTTACACCACCGCCACAACTGCGCGAGCATTCACTCCACTTGCCCCAATTACCCCAACGTGGATAGGCACGCTGGCGTGAACTCGAGTGCTCTCGCTTTGTCGTAGGTAATACTGAGCTTACGTTTGTTGCCAAATCTGAATTTTCAACAACATTTGGCTTGCTAGTCGAGCTGCTTAACGTCAATTCTGTTGTTGTACTTGTTGTTCCTAACGTAGTCGTCTTCGGAACACTGATTTTAGGTGCTTTCGTTACAGCCTCACTACTAATAATAGGCGCTTCGGGCACACCCACACTCTGCTCAGATATCTGCCTAGGCCGCGACTCTGTTGTCGCGCGCTGTGTTGTTGGAGAAGCCCACGTAACCGCGATTGTGTTGGACGTAGCCGATAATACTGTTTGTTCTTCGGGCTGTGACGTGGGTCGAGATGGTGTTGTTTCTAATGGTATTGTGGTTGTTACCAACAATGTCGAGATTGTCGGCGTGGTTGTGGTTGATGTTAGATCCTCATTTTCGTTAGCTTCATTTTCTGGATAAACTTCGTTTATGCTTAGATTTTCTGTAGATGCTGCGCTTTGCTTGGGATGACGCCATAAATTGGCACGTTCGTAGTTGGATTTCGGATAATTGATAGCCACCGCGAGCCGATTGCTTTTCTGTTGATTTCGTTGTTTTAGCCATTCTTGGTGTTTCTGTAAAGAAGAGGAAATTTTTTCGATAATTGATAGAGTTCTTAACTGTAATCGGATTTTTTTGCTAAAGCACTTTGATATGATACAGTAAAATAGAGATAAATAAATATTGTTAAATTTTGACGAAATCACTGCTTATCTCAGACTTAGTTTTCTACTGCTTTCACGGTTAAGATGGCTTTTTACATCCAGACAGTCTTAAAGCATTAACAGGTGGCAGCGTTGATCCAGATTAACTCGGAAATTAAATAAAGTTGATCTGGATTAAGTCCGAGTTAATCCGGATCAACGCTGCCGTCTGTTTAAGCTTTTAAACATCCTACTGAGCAGAGAGCTATCAGCCGGTTTCTCTCATAGCTTTCTCTGAAACCGAGCCAGTTGTTGGCAGGGAGGAGTTCGGCTTGTATCGTCTTTAAAAAGTGGATAGAAAGCTTGAGAAAGCTCTTCTCCTTAGCAAGGTGGTCCGCATCGCCGAATTAAACCATTTTACGAGTTTCATTAAACCCATGATATTGGCAAAAGTGGTTTAAGTTTTTTTTTTTAGATTTTATATGGACGCACACAGAGTTAAAGCTTGCTGGTATACTAGACTCGATGACATGTTATATGATTGATGGTTGCTTGAGGTGATTTTGTGTTAACCAGATTTCGGCTACGAGTCTTATCTGCTATTTGTAACGTCTGTTATTTGACTGAATCTAAGTCGATACATATAGCAAGGTAGTGGAATTCCTGCCTCCTAGAGAGAGCTAGCCTAAGAGTTCGGTTTTTTCCATACTACATATAACCTGAGGTCCAGACTATGTAAGTATGTAGTGCATAGCAAATTCAGTTCGTTCGCCGTTCGTTCCTTAGCTACATATGTACCTTCGGAGCTGGTGCTAAATGGCTCTTAGGATATTATGTAAACTTATCTGTCAGAATAGATATCAGTAAATCTATACTGATATGGCATATTTGTTGCACCGAAAAGCTGCTTCTGTTATTGCTAACGGTTCTGGTTAGAAGGCGCTAGAGCGATCTGATAGACGTAAATATGCTGATGGTTCGTGAGAGTTTGTTGGTTCAAATCACTCCACATACCCCACTGTTTAGATAGGGGCCGAATACTTCTATTTCCAGCAGTATAGTGAGTCGCCTGCCTCATAGGCACAGTGAATATTTTGATATCCTTCCTGGCTAGATCGTCCACGGTGAAGTTTTCTACCCAGACTACACATCTAGTGCATTGTGAAGTTATTTCATTCACTGTCCATACAGCTCATAAGACATTACAGTGCTCAGATGGACGTAAATAGGCTGGGGGTTAGGGCGAATTTGTAGGCTTGAATTCCTCTGCCTACACTGGCTAGCTGGTCTGCTGCGCGATTACACGGAATGTTTCTGTGGCTTTAGACACAAAATATGCGCTTATAACACAGTTATTGCGAAGTTTGCTCAATTGGGGTACTTATGCAGCCTAAAACTACATACATACCTTATAGCTGGTGCTATTTTACTGTATTGGTATCATGTCAAATAGACTACAATGGACCGCATAGCACGTGCAGTGTTAATGGCCAACTATTAGGATCGGTAATACTGCAGTGATCAGGCAAAGGCAAGTTGGGGTTTAGTGAGATGTCTACTCTATCATTTAATTTAGAGCCGTCTGTGGAAAAAACCGTGAGTTAGTCTTAAATCTCGATGTCCTTCGCTCCTCTCTGAAACTGTCAGGGATCACTTGGTTTTAAAACAGAGTAATAGAGCGTTATAGTCTTTCTATCGCAGATCATCTGAAATTATGTTCAAGTCTACGACCTTTCCGTGGACGCTTTGTGATCAACTTAGTCGCATTGTAACTTTTCTGAGGCTTCCGAAAGCGATCTACTCGAACGAAAGTTTTGGAGATTTTTTCGAGAGCTTTCAAGATTTTCTTGGGACTTTTATTCTTATCGGTACTTTTTTTTGCGACTTTTTGATCTTTCATGACGTTTAGGAATATTTTACGACATTTTGTGCTTTATGCGCCGAATTTGGGGGAATATGTCGGGTTCAACGCCATTTAATTTTTTAGCTGCCTTTTTTTTGACTGTCTAAAATAAAAGTAAATATGTAACTGTAATGCCAGAAAATAACAGATGCCTGCTCGGTGCTGAGTTCCCTCTCCTTTTTGATAACTTGGAGAGGGATCAACGAATTTCCGGTTGGTTCTGTACATATGCCCGCAACTGTATTCTTTTATTCATAGTAGAACTTAAATGAATATTTCCCGTTTTTGATAACTTGGAGAGGGATCAACGAATTTCCTGTTGGTTCTGTACATATGCCCGCAACTGTATTCTTTTATTCATAGTAGACTACATGACTTTATTTAGTTGAATTAGTGCCGACATCTAACATCATTAGAATCCACGCTCATCAGTAGCGCTCTTTACTCATCGCTCTTCAATCAGCGCTGAAAGTTCATCATCCATACATCTGCTTGGATTCGACAAGTTTAGAGCATCTTAATGATAAACGGAAGTACATTCATTAAAACGCAACAACAGAAGTCATCATCGAAACGCTTGCATACATACATACATACATATGTACGAGTACTTACAAGAGCGAGTAAGCACTGGATGGATATCAGCGTTTAGGGGTTTGGCGTACATTACAGCCAGTTGGTTGCGTTGACAGTGATTATCAAAATTTGGAACAAATTTGATGGATCATTGAATCTTGGTGACGAAATGTCGCCACATGTATGTATGTAACTATGTATGTCCATAATAACAAAAAATTTCGTTGGTTTTTTTTTTTGTTAGTAATTTGTAATTGTGAAGGTCAAATGACATGTAAATTATTTGTTGCTCGAGTTCGCTCACATTAAATTTTAGCCGCAAATTGATTAGCATTTTTTATTTCTATTTATTTCGTTGTTTTTTTTGTTTCTCTTTGTAGTAACTAGGTACCTATTTTTGTTGCATTTACTGTTGCGTACAATTGAAGACGAGCAAGGCGCGTTAGAACTGATTTTTATCATAATGTTCTCTATATAATTTTGTAGTTGTTTTGCTTAGGCTGAAAACTGAAAAACGTTTATACATACATATACACACGTACAAACGTTCATATGCTGATTGACGACACACCCATGGGAAAAGTTCGATCAAATTCGGCTATTTTTTCACAGTTCAAAAATTTTTGAGGCCATTGCGCACATTGCAAGAATTCTTTTAGAGTTCGATAATTATGTAGGAGAAGGTCAAATAAAATAAGTACATAAATAAGTATGTGCATGTATGAAACCACAACCGCCAAGTGCTTATTGTTTTTGTAAAATTTTGTCACAAAAACCAAGCTAAAATGAGTAAATAAAAATATAAAAAAATTATAATTAGAGAAATGAATTGGTCTTCAAGAACTATTTGACTTTACTTGACGTGATCGACGAGTTTCGAATAAACCAAAAATATACCGAAATAATGACTTTTTGTAATTTTCTTTGAATTTTTAAAAAGAAACCACCATTTATATCAAAATGGAGTCTTAATTGCCGCTGAAATGTCAATATAAATTTTTATTCGCTAACTCGGCGCATTTATTTTCTGCAGCATTTTCTTGTTGCCAAAATTTTAGCTTAAAACATATGCCTGCAAGAAAATTGCAAAAAGTTGATTTGCCTTTGTATTTTTGAGCAACATTAATAAATATACTACACTGGACATCCAGCTTAGGGCGCCTATAAATTTCCTCTTCAGAGTAGTAAATTGCAGCGGTTACTCGTTTGTCTATTTTGGAACCGTTAATGTATGTATATTAATGTTCATCAATTTCTCAATCATCTGCACAGCCTTGCGCTAACTATCAACCTCTATTACAGCTTCAAGAAACATTTGAAAACCAAAAAATTTGGTAATTTTAGAAAAAGAAGTGCAAACAAAACCTCTCTTATGTACATACATAATTAAAAAAAAACAAGTAAAAAAGTCTAAGTTCGGGCAGAGCCGAACATTTAATACCCGGCGCAAGTATTAAATATATGTTTTTTCACCTTTCCGAAACCTACCGCTAGATGGTAAGCCGGGGTGTATCAATTTTGAGTAAATTAGCGTCCTTAAATTTCGAAATATTGAAGTTTCAAGCATTTCTGAAATTTACCGTTATATGAAAAGCGGCCGTAATTTTAGNGTATTTCCGAAAATTACCGTTATATGGGATGTAGGCGTGGTTATCGTCCGATTTTTTAAGTTTTGGGCCATTTGGTATGTTATGCGAGGGCCAACAACTGTGCCAAGTTTGGAAGAAATTGGTGCAGCGGTTACCAAGATATACACATGTAACCATAAGTGGGCGTGGCTACGCCCATTTTCCAAAAATTTATAATATTCTTATTTTTCGTCTAAAAATTATTGTAAATATCAATTTTGAGTGAATTATCTTCAGTAGTTACTAAAATATCGCAGTTTTCGTATTTCTGGAAATTACCGTTATATGGGAAGTGGGCGTGGTTAAAGTCCGATTTCGCCCATTTTCAATACCAACCTACCTTGGATTAAGGGAAACCTACATACCAAATTTCGTTGAGATATCTCAATTTTTGCTCGAGTTATCGTGTACACGGACAGACGGACAGACGGACAGACGGACAGACGGACGGACAGACAGACATGGCTTAATCGATTTCTTTTTTCATCCTGATCATTTATGTATACATTTGTCTATATCTATCTCGATTCGTTTTGGCTGTTACAAACAACCGTTATGTGAACAAAATTAATATACCCTTGTGCACAAGTGCGCTCGGGTATAAAAATGTAATAGTAAGCACTTCTGCCTAAAAATATGTAACTTCGAAAAGTTATTAAGCAAGCTGTTGTTAGCGTATTGCTCATACACACACACACATTGGCTGGTAAAAGTCTGATTATACATACTTCGCATAAAAGCTCAGTTAGTCTAGACTTAATTTCCGTAACTTAACTTAGTATTTTGGCTAATCTGTTATATGAGAAACTGTGTTGGCGGTTAGTTAAAACTTAACTTACCGTAAGTAACTTAAGTACCTGCAGATTTTAGATTGTTAAGTTAAAGCATAAACAGACGGCAGCGTTGATCCGGATCAACTCGGGAATTAAATGCGGTTGATCCGGATTAAGTCCAAGTTAGTTCGGATCAACGCTGCCGTCTGTTTAAGCTTTTACAGTCTTACGGAAAGTGAGAGCGGTGAGAGAATCAGGCTTGCCAGATTTTCGTTTTTGTGTTTTTCAAAAATAAATGCACGCAAACATATTTTTTGCGTTAATTTTTTTGATGTGACATTTTAGGCGGCAAAGTGTCAAACAGCTGAAAAAGAAAATTAAAAAAAAAAAAATATTTCCGCAATATATAAAAATATTTCCGCTTCTAGCTTAAGTTGACGTGTTGAGTAATCGTAAGTTAAATTAAGTTAAGTCGAGACTAACTGAGCTTTAACTTCGCACAACTTCTTAAGCGTAACACAACTTTACAAAACTAAGGCTGTTTATGCTTCGCATGCAGCCAAATTTCTCAGTACTACCAACCTCATGCATCGACGCAATAGGGTTATGTGAACAAAAACAGCTGATTTTTGGTTTCTTTAGGTAAATGGATTTTTTTTTACCGAAAAATTAATTCAAGTGGCTATTAAGTGGTTTAAATGGGGTATATTTGTAGTCCAAATTAAGTCGACACTAAGTTTATTTGCAGTTTGACATAATTTTCATTTTCTTTAAGAAAAACATAAATTTTCATTAAAAAAAATGCCATAATTTCTAAATCTATAAAGAAAAGTCGAGATTCTTTGTACGCGGTGATCCAGAAAACTACTGAACGGATTTTGAAGCGATTTTCTCTTGTATACTCTGTCTCGATAGGAGGGTGGCCCTTTTTTATTTAGAATTGTAATAGGGTTTCCAACTGTCTAAAAAACTACAAGATCTGCACCGTTCGTTGGATTACAAAAGATGAGGTGTCAAATGAAAGAGATTGGCCTCTAAAAAAGCGCTACTATTTTATTTTTTTTATCGGGTTGCTACCTGTTAATAAAATAACAATATACAATCATAGTAAACGTAAGGATCAGTTCTGCACCGCCGCTGTCAAATGAAAAGACCTGGCCTCTAGGTGTGCAATAATGGATTATTATTCTGAGTACGGTTGTCACCTAATAAAAAGTCAAAAGATTTTCCCCGTTCATTGGACTAAAAAATTAGGTACCACGTGAAAGAATATATTTTTCGGATGTGCAATAAGCTTTTTTTTAGTGCGGTTGGCACCTATTTAAAAATTACTACCTTACATATTTTGTGTTAGTGACATCACATTTGCACAGTTTATTCAAATCAAAAAAAAATCCGGTCTTCGGATGTGTAATAAGGTTTTATTTTTTCGAAAAGGGTTGCCGCCTATACGAAAAATTATAAGATGTGGGCTGTTCTTTGGACTAAAAAGTGAGTTGCCAAATGAAAGGGCTTAGCCTCCAGATGTACAGAAAGATTTGTTTTTTAATAGTGTTGCCGTCTGTCTAAAAAATTATAAGGTTTGTTCGTTGCATTAAAAACATTAGATATCGAATGAAAGTGCTTGGCAATTAAGTGTGCAAAAGGGCCTTTTAATAGGGTTGCCACCTTTTTTTTCCAAGTGCGTATATTTACATACTTATGTATATAATATACACATACCAAAGCAATTACCATTCCAACCATATTCATGCTTTGAAAATTGGTTCAAAACTTTTCAAAATATAAGCTTTTGAAAATATTGAAAATTCCGCGTTTACGCTCCCTAGCACCGCTCCTATGAATTTGCTCCAAACTAAATTTATTCCATTCAAATCAGAGAAAAGCGCCGGGCCATGCTCACTTTTTTTTTTTTTAGCTCAAATGGCCCCATTCTTTACTTGTTCCCAAAATTACATGGATAGAGTCGTGAATTCCCCTAATATGCCTTCCATGGATCTCTGTAAAAATAGTGCTATTGGTACCACTGCAATTGAAATGTCGATTAAGCAAATGTGAGGCAAAATCTAAATTCAAAACTTTTTACAAGTTATGCTAATTTCTGGGTAAGGGAATACATACGAAATGCATTCAACAAATTTTCACCTGACAGTTTGAAGTTTATGTGAAGTATACAAAGTAAAAAATATGGGCCAGTCATTAGATATAATGAAATTTTCGTTTCCTGCTTTCCGCTCTCAGGAAACAAAGGTTATACTGTAGATAGGTGTAAATACTCGCTNCCTGACAGTTTGAAGTTTATGTGAAGTATACAAAGTAAAAAATATGGGCCCAGTCATTAAATATAATGAAATTTTCGTTTCCTGCTTTCCGCTCTCAGGAAACAAAGGTTATACTGTAGATAGGTGTAAATACTCGCTTTTTTTCCAATGTTTGGTGAGATTTTTTCATTGTTCGAAAAATTCGTTTTGCGAAATTATGCAAAAAAAAGCTAAAATCAAAAATTATATATATTCGCAAAGTCGCGCGAAAAAATCAAATCATATATTCGAAAACTACATAGAATTCTCTAAAACATTCGTCTAATTTCAAGACCTGACGGACCGGTACTCAAACTTGTTTTTACTAATAATCTTTAGCATCTACAATTTAAAGTAAATTTTTTTATAAGAAAATAGCAAAGTACCAAATAAAAGAAACACTTGCTTTAATGGGTTAATCGCCAAAGGCAACTAAACTGATTAGAAGGTATCGCGCCGATTCCCGTATTTTTTCGAAAATGTATCGTTCGTGAAGAACGGGTGTGAGTAAATAATGTGAAATTTGGTATTTATGACTTTTACTTTTCCCTCTCTAAGTAGACTTCACCACGTTTTTTTTTTCTAGCTGCCTCCATATAGTCGAAACACTGGGCGTGTGGCGAAAATATGAATAAATTAATTAACGAGTTTTGGCTATTTTTCCAGTGTATGTATTTATGTAGCAAAAATTTTATTTTGAAAAATTCATGTTTTAAAACAACTACATACATATTTAAAATATTTAGTTTTATGTATGCATAACGCAAATAATACTTTTTCTGGGATTCCAAAAATGTAAACTCGAAAGAAATTAAAAAATTTACTCGAATTTCAATTAATTTTTTATGAGTAAACAGTAATTACTAAGGATTTGATTAATCAGAATCTGTTTAATCGCATTTTTTAATTAATCAGGATTGTGATTAATTTAAAAATTATATAATCGATTAATCGCACATGCTTTTATTAAAAAAAAAATAATCCCGTTCGCAGTTATATACAGTTTTTTGTTCGAAAATAGATACGTGCGTTGTGTATGCACTTTAGCGTACCACTCCATACAAAAAAAGTCGGTACTGTTTTTCCATCGGTAATACGAAATTAATTATATTTAAAGACTTCCGCCAAAATACTTCAGAAAAATATTAGGATTTACGTGAGCTGACCTTTTTGAAAATACCTCCACAAGTCGAGTTTTTTTTTAATAAGGTTAGTTTTAAAAATTATTATTATTTTTTTTGTAAATTGTTTCAGATAATATGAGACGTTTCTAAATTGGTCTAGCTCACTTTAGTCTCAATATTTTTTTCGAAATAGTGTACTGGTATCGAATGGTGCCTTCGAAAGGGCGGGATGATAATTTTTTGATTATAATACTTTAGATTTCAAATCTTAACTTACATATTGCTTAATCTCAATTTGTCACAGACATTTATCATCTAAAATTCAATATATGAATGTAGTATATGTAAATGACTTACCCGTATCCGTTCGACAGTCGTTATATCCGCTCCAACCAATGCGCTTATCAATATTATATAGAGACATAATCTGCAAAAAATTTAAAAAAAATAATAATTAAGTTATATCTTCAGTTACGAGGTATGCATTCACAATTTTTTTAAACACATGTGCATTCTAATTTTGCTGAGAAATCATAAGCAGACGATAATCCCTTTACAAAATTGGCCCAAAAAAAAACGCTTTCAAATGACCGCAAGCAAATCAATGGGAGATAATCTACTTCGACATTAATAAGAAAATTTCCAATCCCAATGGATAAATTTTTTTATATACATATGTATGTATAGAATGTATCTCAGAAATTGCAAAACAAGCCAAACAAAAATGTGCATTTGACGCCAGAAAGTGGCGTCCAAGCGACACAGCCAATAAGTGCGTCACTTCAAAGCATAAATGCACTGGCGCTGAAAATATTAGAGAATAATGTAGAAATAAGCGATGTTTATAAGTGCATATGTAGTTATGCACCAAGCTGTTGGAGGCGTTCAATCCGAGCAGCTAAATGAACTGCAAAATCATCAGCAACAAGTGACTGGCAAACGGCAGTCCAGCAGAGATGCCAATATGTCGAGATGCCAAAACATGTGTGCATACATATGTATGTACATACTTATGTAATTATATATATGTACATATATCTTTGTATACTTTTTAAAATTTATGCTGCAATGATGTACTCAAATGTAGATGTTGCAATGCAAATTGAATTCATAAGTGAATTGTAGTAATGAAGTGATGAAAAATGTTCCAATTCTTTTCTTTCTCTTCGTTGTTCCGCTTTTGTTAAAAAAATTGATTGAGTTTGTGTATGCAAATAAACTAAACCAAGTAGGCTAATTATATGAACTACAAATTGATCGCAATTTTGCACTTTCTGCAATACAAACATATTTATATTGTATATTAATATCCGATGCACATGCACCCGTTGAGCCACCCATTATTGCAGCGCTGAATTGCCTATTGTGGAGATAACTGTTTGCTTGAAATGACACATTTCTTCACAAATCAAATGGCAACTAGCCTATAAAAAAAGTCGGTGAAATACAAGACTGTTAACACATCTGTTCAAATTATTTTTGTATTGTTTATTTGATTTCACTTTTGCGTAGATATTTTAAGGTTCGAGTACATACTTGTGACGAAGTTTTGCAAAGAAAGAGCTTTGCAATTAAAGCTAAGAAAAATATGTTTGTACATAAGTAGGTAGGCTCGGATTGTTGATAGTAATTAATAGGAGTATGAATATACAAATTAATGCGATGCGATTATGAATATGAATATGCAGATAAATATGAATGCGAATAGGAATGTCAATATCAATATCAATATGAAAATTAATATGAATACGAAAATTTAAATGATTTTGAATATGACTCTGAATATGAGTATGAATATGAATATGAATATGAAAACTAAAACGAATATGGATATGAATACTAATATCAATATAAATGTGAATATCAATATGAATATGAGTGCGAATATGAGTATGAGTATGAATATGAGTATGAGTATGAATATGAATGTGAATGTTAATACGAATATAAATATGAGTATGATTATGAATATGAATATGAATAAGAATATGAATATGGATATGAATATTAAAATGATTATGAAAATGAATTTGAATATGAATATGAATATAAATATAAAAACGAATATGAATGTGATTACGAACATGGATATGAAAACAAATATTTAAAGTATTTTAAAAATCTCTTATTTAGAAATATTTTTGAATAGAGTTGCCACATATTTTCAATCGTATATAAATAATTTTTTATTTTCGAAAATTAAGATACATACTGCTATTTTTGGGTGCTAAAAGAAAGCCCCTAAACATAGACTTGCCTATGTATGTAAGTGTTATCGCTTGGGATATTATTGTACGATTTTCACTTATTTTCGATTCGGGAAAATTAAGCTAGAATAGCTTAATATAGATTTCAACTGAAAGTTATTTTTGAAAACTTTTATCCAGAAATATTTTCGTTCAGGGTTGCCACTTTTTTTTATACAAATGTGTATCTTATTAATTTCTGAGAGCAATTGTTTTTTTGTATATAAAATGTGTATTCTTCAACCTGTGGTATTTTTTCATAGGGTTGCAACGTAATTTTAAATATAAGATACTTTTTTTAATTTATGAGATTCAAAAAGTGTAATTTTTTTAAATTTGCATCCAAAATATTATTTTTAAACAATTTTGAGGTACTGGAATATGAATATGAATATACATATTTATGTACATACATATGTATAACTATATCCATTTTTTTTTTCACCCACATCGATAGTTGCACTAACACGGGCGATGGTAGCATCGATAAATTTAACAGTAGCGGTTTCAAAAATCAATTTAGAACGATATTGACATCGAATTATGTATCGATAATCGTCAATGGTGCGTTGGTCGATATTTTTATCAAAATATTTATCAGCCCATAAGTCAATGTCATGTTTCTATGGTTACAATAAAAATGCCGATGAATAAATATGCCAATTATCGATCTCGATATCGCGATCTTGTAAGTTTGCAGCCCTATTTCCTTATAACTACATACTTTGTATTCTCTCTTCTTAAGTTGACTCTGATCGGCTGACCCATTATTAATTTAAAAACTGTTAACAAATATTCTTTTGCGTTTTTACAAGAAACCAATCTAACGAACGGAAATTAATAGCAACACTCACTGTTTTTTGTTTTCATATAAAAGTTAATAAAAATATTTGTTTTTTTTTTAGTTATTCATGTTCAATCGTTGTTCTGACGCATTGCCTCTACGCAGAACGATAAATCAAATAAACTCAACTTATGGTGTTTTGGCAATATTTTCCCTCAACCACTGAAGTCGCGATACCCGATCAGTTCCAACTGTTCAAATGTTATCTTTTCACATTTTAATTAGTTTAAACGTTTTCTTTTAGTAACTAAATACCTAGACCACTCATTCAGGCTTTAAGCTCAAAACGTTTCGAAACGGGTCCGTGTAAAGAACAACACTCGATTAACGTAAAAAAAAACAGTCTTTAGAGAAGGAAAGGCAGATTTTTATTAATGGAAAAACGTAAGCACTTAAGGGTATAAGTAGACAACTTTAACCGAGTTAAAGTACAATAAAGTCCAAAAGAATAAAAAATGTATTATATAATGTAATAAAAATCGATAACGAAACCTCAATTGTTCAGTATTGTGCAGAAATCGCCCATTGTTCGAATTTAAAATGAAAAGGTTCAACAACTTTCGGAGAGAGAAAAGCTTGTTATACAAGCAAAAAATGTGTTTTCAATTAATTTTGTTGTTAACTACGTTGAGTACAAGACGTGGTACTACACGGTAAAACAATTGTAAAAACCATTGCGACTCTTATCTAAATAAATATTTGAATAAATACATAAATTTCCGGATGGAATGTATCATTCTTAAAAACTCAAGCGCAGTTTGCAAATTCTTCTACGCGTTTCTATTTAAACATGAGTCACTAAGTATGTTTTAGTTTTCTAAATTGCCCTTTAAAAGGTAGTATACTGTTACGATAATAGACTCAAAAGTGCATAAACGATTTGATCATAAGCAAAAGTGAATTGTAATGGTGGCTGCTGAGAATAATTGTACGTAGTGAAGGAAAGGTTTTATAACACAAAGCAGTACTTTTTATTGAAATAATTTTTTATAACAAAAAGTGAAAACTGAACGAAAAAGGAAACAAATTTACAAAGTGCTAAAAATTTTCAAGCAAACATTATTGCACCGTGTGATAAAAAACCAAATAAAAAAATCAAAACGCACGAGAAAATATACTCACGAAACTAAATTGAAGCCAATTATAGTAAAACTGTGTTTTTAGTTTTTCTCTCTAACATCGGGATTTTTTCGAAGGACCTTAAAATTTCGAGGTTATGAAAGCTATTTTAAAAATTCCGTGCAATTACCAAGTGAAAGAGAAAGTTCAGTAAAATTAAAACTTCTATTTTTGTTTCACATTTTGGTGAATTATTTTTATTTTCTTAAGCTAATAAAGTTACTAGAACGAGATTTGAGTATGTTTTCGTGTATGTATTAGTCGTTTACATATCTTTTTTTTTTCAAACAAAATTGCAACATTTTCAAGGATATTTTTAGAGGACATTTTCAATACCATCTATTCGTCCTGTGCATCAAATTTTTTTTTATTAAATGTAAAATAATACAATACAACAAAAAATTTAATCTTTTTCAATTCTACAGAATTTTATCTTATATTTGATACCCATTTAATAATTCTATGTATGTACAAAAATGCATGTGAAAAAGTAAAGACGGAATTTTAACGCTCGCACGCTCTAGGATTGTTCCATATCAAAAAAATATACCTATCTTTTTTATTTGGAAATAAAAAAAAATATTTAGAGGTCGCAAAAAAATCCTTGGTATCTAAAGTGGATAAATAAACATTGGATATTATTATTGGAAGTCTCCTGAAGAGAACCATATTTTTCCGATTGTAAAATATCGATTTTCAACAATTCTATACCATTTCTACGAAAAGTCTTTTTTTTCTTGCCCATTTAAAATATGTACATGAAAACTTTGACCTCTGAATATTTTTTGATTTCAAACTAAAAAATAGTGGTATATTTTTTCGGTATAGAAAAATCATAGGACCCCTAAATATTTTTTGATTACAAATTAAAATAGGGGTATATTTTTTCCATATAGAAAAATCCTAGGGGGTGAGTGGTGTACCCTAATGTACATGCATTTTTTATTCGTCATACATTTTTGAGATTCAAAGTCCTTTAAAAAAATCGCGATGCCAGCGAAAAAAATTAAAACCTTAGTTTTACTAGATTCGGCCCAAATTTCGCGAGTATACATATATTGACTTCTTCGGGTGGGTAAAACTGAGTGTCGACCGTTTAACTCGTGTTTAATGGCAGACCCAGTGGCGCCACTTCACGAGACAGAGAGAAAGTACGAAACAATTTCGTTTTCTTCTTCATCTCGATATAACCACAAGTATCCTCAGTTACTTGCATTTCAAATTAACTTCTTCAAGTTTATAGCAACGTCATACACGTCAACATCCGCCAGATTTCTCACAGCGTGAGGGTTGACTTCCGGGACGAGAACAGCTTTCCAGGATATCCAGAAGGCTTTCCGCCCAAGTGGCTCGAAAGGTAAGAGCTAATCGAGACCATTTCGCTGCCTTGAAGACATAAAAGAATCAGCTGAACTTCTGATGGCTTACAATTGCACGATCGTGCTTGTAAGTACAACGGATATTCTGGAAAGGTGTTCTCGTCCCGGTAGTCAACCCTTACGCTGAGAGAACTCTGGCGGATGTTGACGTTGTGACTGTTCTGAGACTGAATGAAGCTTTTTCTCTTGGATTTAATTTGTTTTGGATATTTGTTTGATTTCTGCGAAGCCTATCCTCTTGGGTTGTGTCCTCTTTGGGATCTTTGTTCGGGGAAAAAAATTGAATTTTCGCGACGTAGACATAGTATGTAATTGCCTGTTAGGGAATTTAGATTTTCCGATGATAGACGCAACAGTTTTTGTACCGCTGTCCTCTGCCCCGTTATTATGCCGTGCCCGTGGGCTGAATTTCGACACGCGTAGTCATCTTGGGATGGGTTTGTACTTTAAACATAGACAAACATAGAAGCGCCCCATGCCGTGGTAAGTCCACCATTACTCCCAAAAGGGGACAGATTTTCAAGAGACTTAGGTAAAATGTAATCGGAACCTGCACAGTGCAAACCATCTCGCAAGCCTGACAATCTAGATCCGAGCGTTTGGTGAAAAAAGAACCATCTCACACAAGACTTTAAAATATCATATTTAAGCTACAAAAGAACATAGAGAAATTTCTTTGCGTAATTTAAGAAAAAATATGCATATTTTTCAACCAAAGCATCTAATTAAAAATTTTCTACCAAAATACACCTTCAGCTTCCGTTTTTGGAGTGCGCCATCTGCAGGCGTTGTTACTATTCTTCAACATTGTTGTAGTCTATATTAGTCGGCTGAATGTCTCGGTCGCTGTAGTCGCAATGACTAATGCCAACACAACAAATCCAGATTTCCCGGTAAGTCAGCAAATACACAGCATTTTAATTAAACAATTAACCATCTCTTATATCCAACAGGAGTACGATTGGACCGAGCTGCATAAGTCTTACATACTATCCAGCTTCTACTGGGGTTATGTGCTCACACAATTTCCTGGTGGCTATCTGAGTCGCCGCTTTGGCGCTAAAATCACCATACTCATCGCCACATTTGCCTCTGCTGTATGCAGCTTCATAACGCCCGCTTGTGTACGGCTCGGTGGCTGGCCGATCTTTTGCGTCATACGTTTACTGCAAGGTCTCTTTCAGGGCCTCATCTTTCCCGCTATACACGAGCACCTGGCCAAGTGGTCACCGCTGCATGAACGTAATCTGCTAGGCGCACTCAGCTTGTCCGGCACCGATTGTGGCACAGTTATAGCGCTGGCATCGAGTGGTCTAATCGCTAGCAGTTCATTGGGTTGGCCAGGCATTTCCTACGTGTCGGCGGCGCTCTGCTTTGTGTGGTGCATATTTTGGCTTATTTTCGCTGCAGATAATGCGCCTTCCTCCAAGTTCATCACACCACAGGAGTGCAGGTATATAGAGTCGTCGCTCGAGCGCAACGATGACTTTCACCAGCAGCGAATACCGGTGCCTTGGCGTGCAATTTTTACTTCGGTGCCGTTTTTAGCTTTTCTTGTGGGGCGTTGCGCGGAGGCTTGGGGTTTCACTACTCTGCAAGCGCAAATCCCCTCCTACATGAATGGTGTGCTGAATATGGAAATCAAGGAGAATGGACTATTTTCTGCTCTACCCTATCTGACAATGTGGCTCTCATTGTACGTATACTTGGCCATAGCGAATTTTTTGACCAAGCGGAAGATTCTGTCACTGACGGCCGTACGCAAGACGATCAATACCATCTCGCTGTGGATACCAGCACTCTTACTAATCGGCATTGGTTTCTTGGACTCCAATCAGCCGACATTGGCCATTGTGCTGATGACGCTAAATGTAGGCATAAATGGTGGCTCCACCATTGGCAGTACGCTCAACTCCCTAGATCTGGCGCCCAATCATGCAGGCATACTGATGGGCTTATCAAATACTATTGTGAATGTGGTGCCGATCTTGTCGCCCTTACTAGTGGGTGTCATTGTGACAGACAAGGTATGAAAGCATTAAAAAAAAAATCAAGTTGAGTTGTCGAATTTTTTAATTTATCAGCATTAAATTTACAGCACAATCGTTCGCAATGGCAAATCATCTTCGCAATCGCAGCTCTAATTTTCTTCGTGGGCAACCTGTTTTACATAATTTGGGGCACTTCAGAGACTCAGTCCTGGAACTCGTCGGATTTTGAAAACGAAAGAGACGTGGAGAAATCTACGAACAAGAAAGTTGCTGAAAAGAAAGCTGTAGAAAAAATGAAAAAGGATCAGCAAGTAGAAGCCGTCAAAGGCGAAGATATTATAGAGAGAACAAGACTTTAAAATACTCACATACATATGTTCATCCATAGATAAGTTAGGTTATACATACATATTTAGTATTTTATGTGTAAATAATATTTATAGTTACGAGTGTAAGTCAAATATATTTATTGATGAGAATGATCCAAAATTTATCATTTGGAGTGTCTCGGAAAGTGTGAAGATGGGGAAAATATACTCCCTGAAGTACTACCCCACCCTAGGGTTCGGAGTAGGGATGTTGCGAATGCGGAATTTTAGACATCCGCGGATGCGAATGCGGATGCGAATATCTAACAGCTAACATCCGCGGATGCGGATGCGAATGTGGATGTCAAGTATTTTAAGAAACCATTAGAATCTAGCATAATGGCGAGATCGTTGTTTAAACAGCGTTTACAAGCCAAACCAAATGAGTGAGGTTTTTCTAAAGCTTTTTAAAAGCAATTCTCCATTCTCGTTCCCTTGGCCGTTTCAGAATTTGGGGAATCTATAACTTCATTAGCGTTTTTCAATTTTAGATTTTTTAATTCATTTTTAATACTTTCTTCTGCGACTGGTAATGGAAAAAAAAATTATTATTTTTGAAAGTCGTGGCTGCCAGCCCAATCGGATCAGTAGCTCGTTTCTGTAAAAGTTCTCTACGAAGCGAATTGAGATATGAATTCGCCGCCCTGTTCTCTACTGCTAATGAGTAGTAGAGAATGACGTATATTCTCGACCAGTAGAGAAATAATCGAAAGAGAAAAATTTCAGAAACGAGCTACAGAATATTGTTATCTTTTTAAAAAAGCACCCGTTTTTTTATAAGTATTTGAATCCCAAATAGTTATGTAATTCTTATCATATTAAAGGTCAGACCTATAGCTTCTTAATTATTTGAGCATCGATTCTCTTTACGATTCTCCAGACGTTGATCATTTCTGCTGGAAATCCCAATTGAAGGAGCTTACTCTTTGACTTTAAACGGCAAATATGGGACAGTTTTACCACAGAAGTTTTTAGTCAAGGATCCAATGTATATCCCTATGAAAAAAAGATTGCCCGACAAGTAAACAAAATTGCGGTTTTTTAAATGTTTGCTAAAAATAAATTCCCCAAAGAGTCCTATTTGAAATTATTGAAACGAATATACATATATAACATCAAAAGCAATTTGATAAATAAGATTTAAAATTTTGTAAATCATAATAAAGAAAGAAACCAATGCAGGTATTTAAAGCACAGAAAAAAATATTATTAAATGGACGTACATCAGAGGTCAAGTAGAAGTGGGAACTTGTATGAGTGCCCATTGATAGCTCGGTTATATAGCTTAAGCAATAATATGTTTAAAGACATTTCTATCAAAATTGATAAATATGACATTTGAGCAGTTTTGGTACACAAATACTCCCACGACCACAAGCAAACATACTGGCTACAATTTGTCTTTTTGTTTGCCATATTACGTTTTATCGGTGCAGTTGCACAATATTCGCATTCGCAAAAGCTGCGCATTGATTATTGCGAATGCGAATGCCAATGTTAAAATTAATGCGGACGCTCCGCGGTTGCGAAGGCGAATGCGAAGATTTGCAACAACCTTGGTTCGGAGCAAAACTGCACGATCATGTAATGGCAAAACGAAAGTACACTTACTACCAGGGTTGCCACTCACTAAAAATAATTTTCCCATCCACTTTACCGAATCTGGAAAATACCAGAAACTTTTTTTTTTAGTTATTTTAATAAAAACTTTAGTTTTGTTCTATTTCAGAAATTAAAATTTTTTATTGCGGAACTCTTTATATGGTATTTGAGATAATATTAATGGCACCTTCTCGGCTTCCTTCAACCAAACGCGAAAGTGATGAAACTACAGGCAAAAACGAAACTTCATCATTTCAATAAACTTCAACTGAATTTATTATAGACAAAAACAATTGGGGTGTTCACAGTTCGTTCCAAATTGTGTCTGAAAATGTAGACGTCTACATTTTGAGACATCTTTAGCATCAAACTGTGAGCACCCCTTTCTAGCAGTCGACGCAAAATCGTCTCAAAACTTTGCTGGTGTTGCCAGACATTTCTTCCTTGCGTGCATTTTTTATATGTCGCCTTTCGATTTTGTATCTGAAAAACTGTAATTATTTAACTTAATTACCAATTCGTAATATTTGTTATTTCTTTTCCTTGATTTGTTTCTTTTCATCAGAAATTGCGCTCAAATTAAATGCAAATATAGAAAACGTGCCCAATAAATAAAAAAAATGCGATTAGTATTGCCATAATGCAACCCTGCTGCGAGGTTGCAAAATGTAGACGCTTAAAAAGATACCTTTGAGTGTGACAAAATGTAGACGGCGTCGTTTTCCAATTTTGTATGGGAAACAACAACACCACAGATTTTACGGTTAGAAAACGTCTTAAAATGTAGACGTCTACATTTTGAGACACTATTTGGAACGAACTGTGAACACCCCAAATGACTCAAAAAATGTTGTTCAAGAAATTTTCGTTTGCTATTTTTGTTCGTATAAGAATATTTCTTTGCGATTTAACCAAACCCATAAAAATTAAGGATTTATCGTCCAATTCTGTATCGGTGACAAACATTTTTTTACTGACAAATTTAAACTTTTTCATATATTTTTCATCTTTTTGATACAGAATAAGCCGTTAAGGTAAATACATATATGTGACCTGGTCTACGGAAAGGGGGCTTAGGTGTCAANTCCGGCGCGGAGAACAATTAACGAGATAATGAGAAACTGACGAAACGAGTTGCTTACTTTTAACAGCTTTTTCACAGAAAACTAGTTTTCGCACGTAAGCTCCCTTTTCGTAGACCAGGTCACATATACAAAATTAAAAAGACTCAAAACATTTTCGAGTTTTTTAGTCTGAATTTTTCGGTATGCAATTTTATATCGTTGGAAGTTTAGTATAACAAACAATGTATGCAGAAAGAAATTTATTATACAAAGATAACTATGAGAAATAAAGCGGGAATGAAAAGGTTTGTTTGTTTTTCGGACAAAATACTTTAACAAAAAACTACCAAAATGAACAAAAATTTACCTTTTTACCAACCCAAATTTTGTCTAACAATTTTGGTAATAATTTATCAAAGTGGCTACCCACAGTGGCTAACGACACAGGCACTGAGAGAAAACTTCGGCGTTTATGCATAATTGTGCTGATAATCAATCTTTTTTCCACCGTTTATGAAGCATCCTCTATCTTGGATCAGAACTTTTCGACCGAATGTGATCCAATTTTCATCGCAATTGATCGAACCCCTAATGAACGGCCCTTCCTGCAGATATAAAACAAAGCATTTTTAACCTTACGCTTCCTGAAGTAGAATTTCAAAATGTGTTGAGTTTTCCTTTGGAAATCCGGTTGGAGTGGTTTTGACCTGTTGGTAGAGTTTTCGTAGATTTTTTGTAGGCATTTTGGTAGAAAAATGAGTTTGATGCGGTATCTGTGGAGATCTAAAAGCCAGTGGAGGGGGATGCAGTGCCACCTAAAGTCAGTAGAGATTCTGATTTTGCACCGGTATTCTTCTTCTTCTCGTTTGGCTCTACAAACATTCGTCATTTTGGGACGAGTGCATAAAACTTCGTTAATTTCCTCTCTCCTTAGTGAGGTTGTGCCAGTTGTCATCCCATGTGCAGGCAGGTCCTTCTGCACTTGGTCCTTCCATTGCGATCGTGGGCACCCAATCTTTCGTAGTCCACCCAGGGGTACCGAGTCGAAGGATACCTTCACCAGAGCAATCGTTGTATTTTATGTGTTTAACTATAGCCATAGATCTTGCGTAAAATAGTTTTATCGAAAGCCTCTAAAGCCTTCTCATCTTTGTTGGACAACGTCCATGTTTCTGCCTCGAATAAAAGAGTGTAACTTTTATTTGTCGAGAAAGGCTTTGCTTTCCCTACCGAGCCCAGAGTAGCGCTTTTTTGCAAGAGTTATTCTTCGCTTGATCTTCGGGCTTACATTGTTGGTGGTATATGTTAAATCATAGATAGACAAGGTCTTTCTATACTTCAAAATTATAACTGACAACAGTGACGTGTGCCCCAAAATGCGAGGACTTTTTATGTGTTTTGGGGAGGTACTATTTTTTGTCCTCGTTCATCGCTAACTACAAAAACCTCTTTCGCTTCTTTTTTAAACTGGAAATTGCTACGCTGATATCCCTGGATCCCAGGCCGCCGACGTCGATGTCATCTGCTTTCCCATATGATGCCACTGCGAGTTTAAATTGTTTCGGTCGATCGCGGAAAGAAAAGGAAAGAATTGGCTTTTTTGGGACCAACCCCTGGCGATATAGCATCTCAGCTAAAACCACGAGTACAAGTTGCGGGACGTGTACTAATGGGGAAAAATTACTCTGCGACGAAGGTGAAAATATAGACATCTTGTTCGGTGGAGGAGTTAGTCTGCGGGAACTAACAAAATTCTGCTCATCATATACAAAGGGAACGGGGGTGCCACCGACTTTAATTGCCGTAATAGAGACGGGGATGTAATTCGACGAAAATTACTACAGAAACGAACTAACTCTGGTACTGCAGCGCGTTGATATTAGGTGAGGAATAGAACCATTTTATTTAAATGCTTCTCTCAAGCCAACTAGAATGGGTAAAGGTAACGGGGCAACAGATCTGGCAAGCACAAGAAATAAGCCTCGCTTTCTAAAAGAGAGGGAAAATTTTACACGAAGGCATTTGGCTTGCTTTCGGATCGAACTCTTGAAAGATGCACTTGAAATGTAAAACTTTTCATTTTTCCCATTTTCGATCCCTTTTTATCATGCCTTGAGAAAATCAAACATTTAGGACCGTTTTCATCATCTTCGGTTAACACTAGTCCACAGTTAAACATGTTACATTGGGTCGGTAACGTCGATAACGATTTTCAACGGGGTAGTAGTGCTGCCTAACCTTTTGAAAACGGCCTTTAAAATTCCTTTTCAAATGGAATTCATGTCAAACTTATACGCTCAAGGCCATCAATAAGACCAAGACCAGACTTACCAAAACACAAC